TAGTAATATTTTTTTCTTCATTCATTTTTCAGTTAATGATAATTGCATTAGTTTTATTTTGATTGATATATTTTATTTATTTGTCACATTGTTATGAATGTTATCTATTTATAGCTACTTACTATTATGCATTGATTACTGCTACACGCACACATATATATATATTTTTATAAACGCCTAAGGGCTAATTTTATTGAAATTGAAAAGATACATAGATGTTGTATGAGAGGACCCAAAAAAGGTGTCCTACCCATATGATACATCAAACACTAGCATCGTAAAAGGATGAAACATAGATAAAACACAAAAAAAAAAAACAAAACTTGCATGAAATAAGCTGTTTGGCACGCGCCAGCTTTGTCTTGCCTTTGCCTCTGGTTCTAGGAGCGGAGACAGCTAACAAATTGCTGAGTGTCATTCCATTACCCGAAGTTACTAGAGTATCATCCATTAAGTTCCCAAGCTGGAGTGTGTCTTCATTCTTCTTTTTCTTTCTAGATAAGTAAACCTGTCATTCCTCATCCGAAGACTGACTCATCTGATCGGTGTGGTCAACAGATTATTGGGCATGTAGGAGAGAATGAGCCCCTAGCTCCTGACTAGTAGTAACAACATTCTGATTCTGAAGAGATGGTAAACATGTCTCTTCAACACCTGATGCATCCTGGGGAAAACCATCTGCCAATATATCAGTCGGAAGAACAGAGATAGTATTGTCTCCGGTCGTGGGCGGGGGAGGTGACATCGTGTCAACCGGTGTTTCAATAGTCTGTGGAATCCACTCCGGAGCAGAGGAGGGACATGTATGAGGTGGGACAGATCCAGAAGCGTTTTTACTTGAAGGTTTTAAATTTGGATGCAACTGATAAAATTGTATTGAGAAATGTCCAAACATACGGCAGTTTGTACAATAAAGTGGTATCTGTTCATGAGGTATCTGTTCCAGTTCTGCTTGCTGTCAAAATCCCTGCAGTTATGTTTCAATCCATATTTCTCCCGGAAAAGGTAAAGTAATATCCCTTTCTATCAAAATTCTGGCTTCTGAAGGCCGAGTTAGATTCACTGTAGGTGTGTCAGTTTTGAGGGGTTTACCGTACACCATTGCTAAAGCAAAGAGAAGCTCTTGATCAAAAAGGTGGATCTTCAAACCTGGAAAGCGCGGCCAAACAGGAATGGTAGGAGGTTCAATACAAGGGTCAAAATCCACCGTCCATTTTAAATCCTTCATCACCTGGTTTTCTATTCGAAGAAGTCTTCTCGCAAACAAATGGGTGTAGTCTTCATCATTTGATAATTGAATAAGAATGTGGCGACCATCCAATTTACCGATCTTCCAACCCCCTTTCAGCTTCATTTGTTCAAAGTTCTTTCAAAGTAGCTCAAGTTTAGGGTTTCCATAAAGAAACTTACCAACTAAAAACAGTCGGCAGGGCGCAGCTAGGGTGGAGATCTCTGCCTCAGTGAGAAAGATTACAGGTTTGCCATTTTTACGGGAAGCTTTTTTGAGAAATCTGGTTTCAGTGCTAAGAGCAAAATTATCGTTGCAGAAACATATTCGAAAAAAAGAGTGAAGACGGGGTTATCACTCGCGAGGGCGGCGGCGTAGGAACGCTCTGATGCCATTTCTACAGTAAGAAATGTCGATCGACACAGATGCAGGTGTAGAAGCAGCGCACGTCGATTGGAAGACAAGCCGCAGTTTCGTCGCAGGGCACGAAGCAGCGCGAAGGAGGAAAAGCCTTGCGTTCCTGGGCGCGAAGGAACGACAATCGCAGAGGAGACGAGCGCGGGCTAGCGAGCATCAGTGGAGTCGTCGACAAAGCTACGAAGACGACGCAGCAGAGTCGCGTCTTCTCCGACGCAATCGACGACGCGCATGGACGCGTGAGGGAGAGGAGTTCGGGGCAGCAACGACAATCGAAACGCTAGGGTTCGCCATGGGGCGAAACCCTAGCAGAGCGGCGGGACATCATATATATATATAT